GCAGAGATAATATTGTGTCGGGTATTATTACGATACTTGAAGGTATTATTTAACAAATTGAAAAATATTTCAAAAAATATATATTTTTTGTTTTTTTTTTCTGATTGATATTTTTATTTATCTTTTTTGGGGGGTGTTTGTTTTTAAAAAACAAGATTTATTGAACGAAAGTCCCGATAAATTTGATAGACTGCTCTCGGTTTTGCCATCTATTTGGGCATCTGTGGATCTAACATCATCTGCGGGACCAGCGTTCCTAAACCTTTTAATGGCAGTTGGAAATACATTACCCGAGGCCCCATATATTTTAGAATCTTTGATTGAAAATATCCAGGCATGACATTTCGTTTGCAACTGCTTAATTCTTCAGTTGCTCTATTCTTACTACGACCAGCAGAATGTAAGGATATGTTGGCAAAATTATTTAAGTACACTATGGTGTCAGCGGAGCATTTAGAAGTGAGAGAGAGAGCATTATTCCTTTATCGATTACTACGGTTCGACATTGAAACGGTGATTATTGATTATTTAATAATTAGAATTAATTTTGCATATATTTTTCAAGATACCCGTATAATACTCATATATGTTTTTTGTTACTAAGGTTTATATAAATTATTACCTTTAATCGATAGGATCGTCCATTATATGAATTCAATACACTTTCCGTGTTTTACGGGAAACCATCAGAACAATTTATAATGGATACTGGGCCAACCTTTTATTTGCAGAATAAACAAGAAATTGATGATTCACAATTTTCAAATACTCTGGAATTTGATACAGTAATGTTACAAGTAATTCATATAATTTAGTTACTTTACAAAAATAGCTCAATTTGAAATGCTAAAAAGTTTTGGCTTTTAAAAGTGCTGATAAAAATATGAAAAGCGCTGTTCCCGAATTAGTTATAGCAAAATGTAATGAATTTGTGGGTAGTTTCAATAATTCTGTCACTTCACAGGCTACAAGAAATATTTTTCATGACAAAACATGGAAAGAAAGTGATGGAAAATTGTTAGAAATTACTGAACGCATTCTTAATATACTGTAAGTAGTATTCCGATTCCTAAGCAATTAGTATTTATAAATATTCTAACATGCTTTTATTAGTGGTGAAATATGGCGCAATCTTGCATTTGAGAGTAGTGTGTCGCGTAGCGAACAAAGCGAGAGAACTTATATTTCTGATATTATAATGCCCTTGCTTCGATCTAGTCTGGGGAACCTACTCAATGGTAATATCTGCTTAAGTACTGCAGAACGCCAGAGTATAGCAAGCAAGGCTCGAAGAAATGCAGGAGTGGACAAAGAACGAATAGGGAAGAAACCCGATATCATGGGGTTGCTAAAATATGATGAGAAAATTGCAGAATTTATGTTCGCAGAATGCTTTTGTATTGTTTGTTGTAATTCCAAGAAGGATGATAATGATGTTAAATTATGGAGAGAAACTTTGGATGGAATGAGCTTTTTAGATTCATTGTGTAGGCCAACTAGTAATCAGTTCGGGGTTGTTGGAATTCAGGTGGCCGGAACCACTATACGATTAAATGTTCTTGTGCGAGACTTGGGTGGCATACTAAGATATTTTCATCTCGACCATGCCGAAATTCCTTTGTTACCACACTTATTACATACTAAAGCTCTTATTCGTCTATTACTAACCTTAAGGAATATCTTGATTGTTAATAAGAGTTTACTAATGGAGGCATTAGTAAAAGCCAATAGTCACCCACCCCGAAATGCCCACCCAAACCCCGCTGTTTCAACACCAACCAGAGAAGAACAGACAAGAACCAGAAAGGTAAGTGATATAGATCCACCTTTGCGTGAACAAAGATTAAACAAGAAAAAAAGCAGGAATCTTCAGAACAAATTTTGAATTTATATGAGCTCTACCCTGTATTTTTTTTTTATATATCAATAAAGCTGGCCCTTGTGACCGATTTCGCATACATAATCGTGTTTACTTTTGCATATGTATTTATGAATTTATTTTATTGTATTGATATCGATGTTTATGTTATACATTATTGAGAATTTTTCTTAGTAAAAGTGATCGGATTGAATCGTGGTCAATCAAGGCTCATCAAAATAGTGATTTTCTATATAATTATATGAATCACACTGCGATCATAGCTCTATCATGGGTTATATCACTGTTGATTAGCCACTCTGACTGCCTTCAATAATTATTTCGAAATCAAAATTTTCCGATCGTGAAGAAAATCTTCACGGTTTTTGATATTATATGATTTTTATTAATTTAAACTTTTGAACATATCCATATCTTGTATAAAACAATGGTAAATACACAGTCTAAAATTGATTTATTGGAAGGACAGAATTCCAAGCTTGTATCCGAGATTACTAGTGATGCAGACATTTAAAATCTTAAGAGGTAGCTACCTTGGTGCAACTACTGCGGCAATATAGCACATTTGCCATATAAGTAGAAGTGACGTATGCCATATAAATGCCTGTATAAGTGCCGTATGCCGTATAAGTGCCGTATAACGTATAAGTGCCATATCGGTATGTAGTACGTATAAATTTCACATTTTATGTAAGTATACGTACAATTGTACGATCATATGCACTTTTTTTTTTGATATATCAGAGTTACTACAAGTTACTACACAATAGTCGAAATAGTAAAAACCTTTTGGGAATCTACTAAGTCCCAAACTACTGGGTTTGGTTTACATCCCTAGTTATAACCATCAAAAGATGTAAGTCTCCAACAATGAATGTTTTCCCAAATTATAATAATTATTACATATACAGTTTTGAATTATTTTTTAATTATTTTTATTATATGTAAAGATATAAGCGATGTAATTATTATTTGCAAGTTGACAGCTATTTTTTTATGGGTTATATATATGTAACCCATTCTTCCAGATACCTGATTTTAAGCAATGAAGTTACTAGTGATAATTTTGTGTTTATTCGGAACTCTTAAGCTAAATATTTGTATTTTGTAGAATCATTTTTATCTCTCTCTAAATATTCACGATCTATCAATGATTCAATTCGCTTTTTGATATCAGACATCTATTTATATATATAAAATATATAAAAATATTAGTTAAGAAAATTATATGCCTTAATTTTATAAATAGTATTTACCGGAGGTTTAAATTTTAGTATTTCCAAAAGCTCTGTAATTAATTCATTATGAGAAAGTGTCTTACGCATCTTCGCTATACGAACTAATCCAGCGTCTATTTGATGTTGACGATCCATGAAAACACTCTCCGTGGTCATCGCATTTTCCTCTTTCTATAAGATAGTGAACCATTCAAAAAATTATCCGATAATCAAGAAAATTGCTTATATTATGATTAAAAGACATACCGTTTCTTTTAGTTGAATAGCATTTATTTTAATCCGGAAAATTTTGGCCTCAAACTCTTCATTAATAGAAAATTCATCTGTAATAAAAATATCACGTCCTTTCGGATATTTTACAAGGACTCGAACTTTACCACAAGCCAATGATTGTAATGTACGATTTAGTTCTTTGAGTTCTATTATTTATTATATTAGTTAATTTAAAATATTAATTTTTAACGTGCGTAAAATTTATAATACTGTACATTCATTCCTTACCCATTCCGGACATTTCTTTAATTTCATCATAAGTCCGCCTTCCTCCTGGTGGTAAATCATTAAATAGCAGTAGGACCACCCCTTGGGATAAGCTTACAACTAATTCCTTGTTTCCCTATAAATAACCAATAAATAAATAAATAATCAAATCAAATCAAACTTTTAAATAACTTACATGCGGAAATTCTGCTGCTAACAAACAATGTCCTAAAGAATTTTGCCATTTTAAATTTCTTCCATTATGTTTACTAAGATAAAAATCTCTGAAAATTTGCTGACATTGTACCACCTTGGGAAATTATGTTTCAGTAAATAACTTGAACAAAATAATCAAGTTAAACAAACATAAATAATTTTACCACTAACATTTTGTGGTATGTTAAGCGGTGATGGAGGATATGAGGGCCAGAATCCTTGTGTCAATACATTAACAGATAAATCAATTTTATATTCTTTTATTTGCTCTCCAGACTTGGAATTCTAAAAAAAAAAATGTAAATTTAAATAAATTATTATATAATCCTTTTTCAGAATTTATAACCACTACCGAATTAATACATACTTCAAAAGACTGCATAAAATCTTTAGATAGTTCAATGTCCTTGAACATGCCTTCTAGCTTACTAGTGAATGCCGGACCACATTCTATTAATTTGTTATAAATGATAATTAATACCAATAACAAAATAAATCCTCTGCAATGTGTGGGAAGGTATATTTTTGTTTCTGCTCGGTAATGATCTAAACATTGATCGATCCTGGTAGTTACCATCAAAATATTGAAAGTGAATCAGCTGGATAATCAGAGTTAGGCTATAAAAATCCAAATAACAGGGCGTAAGATCTATTTTCCGAAAACAAGACTACCCCCCAAAAAAAAGTTTAATTTATGTTATGTTAAGGATTGGGGTTTGTCTATATTAGGGTTAGAAAGAGATAGTAAAAATTGCACGTAGGTGATTAATTTCGAGATATTCCCGACTTTTTCCAAAATAAGCTCTTGAAATTTTTTTTTTGTTATACTACCCCGAATGTTCATTGACTAATTTTTTGGTCGGAAGTCACGTTTTCGGAAAATCTATCTTACGCCCTGGTATTTCAGAATCAGATCAGCAGAAATAATTCACTGATATTTTATACAGAACCTGCCCACATATTGCAAGAAACTGTATAATATAGAAGTAAATAAAAAACAGTAATCAACCTTTTCTTAATTTTGATAACATGCTCTTCTCATAATCAGATGATGCGCTCTTGTTTAGTAAAAGACGTTTTGCAAGATCACGTTTATAGAAGGCTTCGAATATATCTTTGCCTAGAATTTATTAGGGTAAATAAAATTTTATATGCATTATCAAACATAAAATAATTATTCACATAACTACCTTGTATATATCTGAACAAAACCAACACTTCATTCAACGTTCTTTCAATATCTGTATCATCCATACTCTTGTTTCCAAGTCGTAATGTCTGGTCTACGTATTTTGCTGAAAATAAATCAAGGTATAATATTAGTGTATATAAAAAAAAGCTTTTTCTCATAGCTTGTCATTGACCCACCTATAAGTTCTGCAGGCTTATTTTGACGTTGATTAATAAACATTTCAAAGCTTTCTTTCACTGTGTAATTGAAAGTATTATTGCCTTGAAAAGCTCCAGAAACGATTTCATCCATTTTAGCTTTAAGATATAAGAGTTCAGTAACCATAGCCGGTTCTTGACTTGGATCGTTAACAAGAGCTATACCAGTTTTCTGTTTAAAAAAATCCATATTGAAATAAATAAATAAATAAATAAAAATAAGAGTAAATTGAAAATTCTGAATTTCTTGCCTTAATATAATCTCCAAAATATTTGCGCAAAAGGTCAAGAGCATTTACTTTTGATAGAAGTTGGTATAAGAGCTTTAACTCTTTTAGATGTCTATCATCATTATCATTATCGTCTTCCATCATATCAGCAAAGCCTAATCAAGGTTATAAGTTATAATTAATAAGAAATAGAATATATATTTTAAAAATTAAAGCAGTTTGTCATATAATAATAAAAGAAATAGTTCTTCCTCGACCGTTATTTACCTTTCTCTAAAATAGTATCTACGTGTTTTTTGATCAATTCATCATAAACAACTTTCGTCAAGGGATTTCTGGTTTTTTTGTCCAAGTAGTTGTTGACTCGCTCCCATTCCATGTATAATCGTGACTTAACATGTCCAAGATACTTTGGAACAGGGTACTCACTAACAAGTCGATGTCCTTCCTGATAATAATAATTACGAGTTTCTTGTAGAAAGGGATTTTCAAACCGATTATAATAGACGGAAAGGTCAATGTACATGTGTATTAAGGAATGTAGTAGGCGGTTATTAACCTCATCGCCATCCCTAATATAATATGTGTGTGAATTTAAATTGTCAGATTTATCCACTCAAAAGATACAATCTGAGACCGACCTATCGCGTTTGATCAGCGAAAGCAAACCGTTCAAAGTCTTTTGTCGTACGTCGCTAGATGACATTATATGTTTTCTAAATAATTCTATACCCATATCCCTGAAATTATTTCATGTAATTTTATTAATGAAAAATGTATAAATGAAAAATGCATAAAAAAAAAATAAAATTTTAATATTACCATATTGAAGAAACACCTGGAGTTTGAAGTACATAAGTACGATCAAGATATAAAAATATATTTCTAATCAAACTCTTAAAGTTCCCAAATTCGATAAAATCAACCATTTGAATTCAACACTGAGAAATTAACAGTTAACAGTTAATAATTTTAATAAATTACCATTTGTTCACAATGAGCCTGCCAACATCGATCAACCACTTGAAGGAAAGCTTCATCATCCGAGTTATTACTATACATTTGAAAATGGCTGGTTTTTTTAGATTTGGAAGGAAATTTATACAAGCAAAATATATATATATATATGAACTGATCATGACGATATTAGGGTTCATATATTTACCAATCGAGTTTTTCTTTTTCTTTTAAAAGATGTGATTCACATTCCTCTTGAAGCCTTGAATAAAGTCTATCGGCCATTTTGTGCAGACAAAGATTTTCACATGCTTTATAGAGTTCCTCAAAACTATCATTAACAGGCTGATAATTATGAATCGCACGAATAGCAGCTTGAAGTTTAGTCCATGTAATCTCTTCAAAATTATCAGGTAATTTTGGTTTAACTAAATACAAAGTATAGAATTTTTACAACTATAAAATAACAAATAAATAAACGAAATTATATTTAGTTAAAATATTGATCTATAGGAATTACCTTTTAAAGGCCTAATCACCAACTTTTTAATTGGTACTTTTGTTTCATTGCTTGAATCACCAACTGGCTTATCAATGATCTGCTTATGTGAAGGAAAAATTAAATCCTTTCCGATTTCCATAGGAACATAATTTTTTGAAGCTTGTTTTGAAGCCTCAAGTAATGATCCAGAAGAAGAACCCGGGAAGCTACTCATTGATGAGTTGAAATTATCAAGTCGTGTGCGTTTTGTTGATTGATGTTCGTCACCCGAATGTTCATTCATGTCAAGAGAATAAATAAACGTGTTATCTAGATGATCATATATTTTTTTTAAAAAATTTTTACTTGTCACCGTGACTTCTGGTCATGTGTATCTTTTCAATATAACATTTATCGTTATCGTTATACTGTAGTTTATAAATTACATATCGATTTGTACAAATAATAAATGGTAAAGGTAACGTAACACGTATTGTACTTTCGCGTTGGTTTTCTTAAGAAACTTTTTTTTTTTTTATTAATAATAATTTTGAATAACGATGAATATAATTTCGACTGATGGTAGTGAGTCTCAGACTCAAGGTAAAACAATAACTCCAACACCGATTGGACCAAGTTTAGGAATGAACCCAGGTGAGAGAAAATTGAAAGAATTTCAGATCTTTTGTTTCCGCGACGTTTTTCCAAAACAAAAGTGTCATTGCTGCTGACAAGAAAACATGCCACGATTTTCTGCGACGAATTTTTCTTGAGTTCAAGTTACCGAATGTACATATGAGACAACGTTCTGGCCTCGAATTTCGGATTTTGTTCAGAACGCACTTCAAGCGAATCTACAAATAGAAAGACCTTTACATACCTATTCTCATGAAGAACTTTATAGGTTAGCGTTGATATAGGATAGATTTTTTTTTTTTTTTTTTTTCTGTTATCCTTACTAAAACGATCCAATAATTTATTTATAACAGAAGTATATATTGGATGTGTTGGCAAGGCTTTCAAAAACGACTTTATTCCGACTTGATCTCAGTAATTGAAGAAACTTTAGAGAAACTCGGAAAACAATTAGAAAGTAATAAGCAATTGAATGCATGGTTCACTAATTTTCAACAAATATGTGTTAACCATGCAAAAGCTACCGATATTTTGGGGAGTGTCTTTGCGTACCTGGTATTTGGAGTATTTTTGTATGATAACTCTGTAAACTGATATTTTGTAAATACTCGTTATAATTCTTTGGTCAATCATCAAGCAATGTTCTTACTTTGCTTGACAGGATAAAACATATATACAATATACCCTTCGAGAAAACTTACGAGATGTCTTGGTGGATCGATTTCAACTTTATATTACAGAAAAATCGGAAATGCGCATCATCTATACGTTTGATTTAGTGCTTGATAATCCTAGGTTATTGGAATTAAATGCGGTGAAAGATGTTGTGAAGGCAATGTATAAGATTAGTCCAGGTAAAAATTATTATTATTAACGGAATAATAAAATATGTTATATTTTAATTTTTTTTTTTTGATACAATTTGATTTAATTCGATTTCTTAGATAATATCTATTTGAATCCGACGTTATTTCAAAATTTAATAGAAGACATTAAAATGCCCTCCAATTTTGAAGATATTCAAGTTCGACATACTACTTTAGAAACCAAGTATCAATTGGAAAAATTAAAAATTGAAGGGTGGGAATCTGGACATTCATCTCAACAAAAACGATCATTAACATTGATGAATGAAGGTGATGAAAATCAAGAAGAACCTTTAGCAAAACGCCGTCAATGCTAGGGTTATTGATATCATATACCGTATGTTATTTTAAATATATAATAATATATTACATTTACTGGTATGACCCTCTTTTTTTTTTCTGAAAATTGAACAATAAAATATGAAAAAATTTGAAGGGAACACACATTTATAACCTATAACATTTATACGTAGTAATTTTTATTATAAAGATTATTTAAAAAAAGGAAATGGTAAAAATTATATATGAATATTCTCGAATGCTATCCAAGTATTATCAATTCAAAAACGATTTTAGTTCCAAGTTAACAATTATTATTTTGATAAATAATAATAAATGCACGTCAAATTCGGAATTACTGAATTATTTAATTAAGATATATAAAATATTTTTTATTTACACAAAATAAATATTTACAAAAAAATTATTCAACAATAACAATTTTGACGTGCCATTCTGGGTATTCTAAGTTCGTTCAGAATAAATAACTAGATACGTAGTGATAAAAAATCACAAAAACTGATATGTAGATACCTATATCATAGTTTCATTGAACCAATAAATAAATTTATCGAAAATTATTTATTTCTAAATTAGCTGAAAAAAACGGAGGAATGCATACACGATGTGTTACGTGGAAGTGCATGGTACTCTCATGCGGAAGAGACCGTTCAAATTTCTGCATGATAAACGTAAAACGTTTTCAGCAATTCCTCTTTCGGTGTGAGACAAATTGCATTCTGCTTTTCATGGAAGTGATACGATGAAAATATTCCATTTATTGGAACTCGAGCGATGCTCAAACTGAACACTGCAGAATATATTTTTGCGAATAAAATTTTAATTATTCTTTATTATTTAGTAACCTATTGTTAAAAGTACCAATTTTATAAATACTTTGGTCCTTAAATTTTATTCATTTGTTTAATTTTATTACTAAGTTTAGGTGCTTCTTAACGTTCGTTGTTTTAATTCTTTCGATTTCTCTTCTTTGTTACGAAAAAGGGGAGGGTTTTCTTTTTTAACCCTTCTTTGATGAAAAGGCAAATCAATTAATTTATATTAAGAACACCAATAAACAACTTGTAACGATCTGTATAAAGCAGCAAGGAATAAATCATTCTGACAGTTTTGCACGGTTTTACTGCACGTTAACTGCAAAGGCCGAAGTTTTCAGTCTTCTTGGCTTTATTTACTGTATCAGTTTGAACTATTTTTTTATGATTTGAGACGACACTTTATCCACATTAACTTCATTTTTTTATATATTACTTTTTTTCACGAAATTTTATTTTTTATTTTTTGCCGTCTTCGGCTTTTATGCAATATTTTGTAATCGATTTTATTTTAGAAACGACTTCAAACGAAATTAAATTGATTTCTATAAACCATTTTTCTTTCATTATTAAATTTATATGACTTTATCCTTTATAAGAAACAACTTTGAAATTTCTTTAATACAAATTAAAATAAAAAACGAAATTTTTTCGTTAAAAAAAAATTAAGATTCATTTTCAGATTTAACTGAAACAACACTCCATCTACGAACCTAAAAATATATTTACAACGAAATACGTTAAAATAAATCTAATCTGTAACTCTGATTCAAAATGTCTTCTGACAAAGAATTAGCATCGTTACAACAAAAACTAGAAAACCTTCAAAATATTAACGCTTCGGTAAGTTTTTTTTCGTTTTTTTTTTTATATAATAAAAAAGCGGAGCTTGAAAAAAAAAAAAAAACCGGTAAATCTGTTTTTAAAAAAATGTCTCGGCTTACTCCGGTTTTATGGTTTATCATTGACCAAGAATTATACTTGATAAAATATTATTAAGGCTAAATTTAGATTTAATTTTGTATTTATATATATATATTTTTTTCATAACTTAGGTTTGTGAACAACTTGAACGTGTCAACAAAGAAAATTCTATATTAACAGATGATAATAATTTTCTGCGCAAAAAGAATTCTTCTTTTCAACAAGAAATTGCAAATCATCACAATGAATACGCACGAATTGAGTCTGAACTTTATCAACAAGGACAAGAAGTGGAAAGGCTAAAAAAAGAAAATATTGGCTTCTTGAAAAATAAACGAGAAGTAGAAAGGAAATTAAGAGAGGAGGTATGTTATTTATGACAATTTATCAAAAAAAATTAAATGATGGATATTGAAAAATTATACATATTTCAGACACAAGCCTTTGAAAAAGATCGAGCTAGTTGGCAAATGCGTGAATCCGAATTAAAAGGTCAAATTAAAGCTCTTCAAGAAACTGTTAATCTTATTGGTCAACAAAATGAAGCTTCACAAAAGAAAAGCGGTCAGTCAAGTTCTAATGATGGTAAGTTACAATTCAAATTTACCTATATCACTCTTTATTTTTAGATTGAAATTTAAGTCATTCAATAGTGATTGATAGATTGGATTAATTTAAATGATTTTCACGAATTAATCATTTTTAATATTTTATGATATGTAGAAGATAGTCCTCCTTTAACACCTACAGGTTCACATTATACCGCTATGCGCGAGGCTAGGACTGCACAACGAACCATTAAAGAGCTTGAAAGACGTGTTAATGATTTGACAACTGAAATTGAAAATATTAAACGGGCACATACTGAATCAATGAATTTAAATAAAAGTCATGTTGCTAGGATTCATCATTTGGAAAATGAGCTTGGTCAAGTTAAACATATGAATCAAACATTAATGGAAGACAATGAAGGGTATCAACTATTGTTGCATGAAAAGACAATGAGAGGTGAATTTATGCTAAATCCTATCATGCAGGTAAATAAATATCATGTAATCCCCCATTTCCATTACTCCATTATATGCAAGTATTAATTTATCTACTATTTCTTGTTAAAAAAAAAAAAAAAAAGAGAAATACAAAATATACCCACGCTGCAAAAAAAGAGACAAATCGCACAAACGATGAAGATATTAAATCAATTCAAATTGATTCTTCTATCAGCCCTGAATCAGGTGCTATAGATTTAGAAGCTGAATTAAATCGTGCGTCTGATCTTATTGATTCTCTTCAAGGCGAACGTGTGCATAAAGAGAGTGACCACACTGTGATTGAAAGTGCGTATTTATTTCATTTTTTCTTTATTTAAAATTTCATATATAAATCAATGTATTTATTTTATTTAATTTATAGAAATGCAAGATGAAATTAAATTTCTTAAAGACTCCAACAAGTCAATGTCTCTTTATATTCAAAAGATTCTCAATCGTATTATGGAAGCTAAAGGCTTTGAAGAAATTTTGTCTGCAGAGTGGTCAGCAAAAAAGGCTGCCTCTTCACCTACTTCACCAACAACAGGTTCGTTCCCTTTGAGTCAGGAGCCCGCAAAAAAGAAAATGGAAAGGCGAAAAACCTTTTCTAGTTTTCACCTACGAAGTGCTTCCCAACCTCAAAATGTTCTCAAACCTGTGATACATGAAAATATAGCTGAAGAGCCAGAACAAGTACAAGTACGATCTAAGGATGATGGAATTGTTCAACTTGCTGATTTGTCTAAACGATCACGAAGAAATTCAACGTCAACAGGTCTAAGAAGTGGAAAACGATTTAGTTTCCTAGGTTTTGTTGGTATGGGTGCAAGGGATGGTGAAAAAAAGGATGATCCTTATTTGAGGCAAATGATCCTTGTACAGGAAAATCAAAAAGTAAAAGAATGAATTTATTTTATTCAAATTATTTGAATTTTTTTTTTTTTTAAAAAAAAAAATTATATAAAATTATATAAGAGTTTTTTTTCTAAGTTGTTCACTAAAAAATTAGGTTTATGAAATAGGTTTTCGGTTTCTAGTTCATTTTTTTTTCTTTTCATATTTGAATTTGTAAATGAGTTCTTTGTAGTCTAAAACGAAATTCGTTGTAGTTATATTTTGTTAAGAATATTTATTTCTTTTTGTAAATTTGATTGTTTTTTCCTATTATTTTATATTTATATTTATTTTATACATTTTATGCTCTTGTAAAAAGCATTGAAAAAATAATTCAAAAAAAAAAAAAGAAAATTATATTATAAACATTGTTAGTACACTATATTTCTAACGATAATTAATAGACTTGTAGTGTTTTAATACAATGTTAATAAATTATATATATATATATATTTGAGTATTTAAAATCTACTATCTATTTATGAAGATCTGGATCGGGTAAGAAACTGGGACAAACGATAAGTACTGGTTTTTCATTGCTTCGATTTTTATTTCTCT